TTGAAGAACCTCCACACTGCTTTCCACAGCAGCCATACCACTTTACATTCCTACCAGCAATGTATGAGAATTCCAGTTCCTTCACATCTTCACCAACACTTGTTATTTTTTATATGTATATATATATTTATTTATTTATTATAGCCATCCTAATGGGTGTGAAGTGGTATCTCACAGTGGTTTTGATTTGCATTTCCTTGGTGGCAAATGATGTGGAGCTTTCTTCACATGCTTCTTGTTGTTGTTCAGTTGCTAAGTCATGTCCAACTCTGCGACCCCATGGACTATAGCACACCAGGCTCCCCTGTCCTTCACTGTCTCCTACAATTTGTGCAAATTCGTATCCATTGAGTCAGTGATGCTATCTAACCATCTCATCCTCTACCACCCTCTTCTCCTTTTGCCTTCAGTCTTTCCCAGCATCAGGATCTTTTCCAGTGAGTTAGCTTTTCACATCAGGTGGCCAGCTTATTGGAGCTTCAGCATCAGTCCTTTCCCTGAATATTCAGGGTTGATTTCCTTTAGGATTGACTGGTTGGATCTCCTTGCAATCCAAGGGACTTTCAAGAGTCCTCCAGCCCCACAGTTCAAAAGCATCAATTCTTTGATGGTCAGCTTTCTTAATGGTGCAACTCTCAACGTCCATACGTGACTACTGGAAAAATCATAGCTTTGACTATATGGGCCTTGTCAACAGAGTGATGTCTTTGCTTTTTAATATGCTGTCTAGATTTGTCATAACTTTCCTTCCAAGGAGCAAGCATCTTTTGGCTGCAGTGAATTGGGAGCCCAAGAAAATAAAATCTGTCACTGCTTCCACTTTTTCCCCTTCTATTTGCCACGAAGTGATGGGACTGGGTGCCATGATCTTAGTTTTTTTTTTTAATTGGAAGATAACTGTTTTACAATATTGTGTTAGTTTCTGCCATATATCAACATGAATTAGCCATAGGTATACCCATGGCTGATCTTAGTGTTTTTATTGTTGAATTTTAAGCCAGTTTATAGGCCATTTGTACAGACTTTTTTAAAAAGCATAAAATTACCCTTGCAAGCCTGAGAAACTTGGTCATGAGGTGTACTTCAAAAGAATTTTATGGTTCAGTGTCCATAATTTTATTAGGATTTTTTCATTTATAAATGATACTGACCTGTAATTGTCCATCCTGAAACTATTCTTATTTTGGTATTGATTATATTGGCCAATCTCACTTATGAGTTGAGGAGTGTTCCCTTTCATTTTTTCCTTATTGGAATAATTTTTCTGAGCTTTGGGCATTTCTAGTCTTTGAAAGAGCCTATCTTTAAACCTCTAGGCCTGGTCTTTTTAGATGGGTATATTTTAACTGTTGAAATTTCTATCTGTAGTGGACTTTTTATTTTCATGTTTGTTTATGCCATCTCTTAGTCTTATAAAAATTTGGTCCATTTTGTCTTTTCATATAACCTGCTTTTAAGAAAAAATGATAACAAAATGATTAAGAGGAAGAAAAGAAAAAGTCAGCTTTTGATTTGGGGGAATCTTCTCTGGACTTTGTTTTGTCTGGAACTTTCATCCATTTCTGTTCTTTGTTATTTTCTATGTCCTATTACCTTTTTTTTAAACTTCTTTAATAATTAGCACATTATTTTTTAGTCTTTCCTATTTGTTTTTAAGTCTGTAAAGTTCTTTTGAAATACCACTTTAACTGTGTCCTACAGAGTTTGACCTTTACCATTTTCACTGTCATCCCATTCTAACTATTTTAATATTTTCAGAGGCTTTCATGGTATTCTAGTGATTAAGACTCTGCTCTCTCACCACCTGGGGCCTGGGTTCAATCCCTAGTTGGGAAACTCAGATTCTGCAAGCCATGCACCCACCCATATTTAGAATTTCCAAATATGTTAAGTTGTATTTTTTATATGGATTTCTGACTTAATTGCATGGTAATCCAAGAACATTTTATGGTGCCAGTTCTATACTGAGACTTGCTGAATGACCTATTTTGTGATTAGCTTTTATAAATGAACTTTTAAAAAAATTTATTATTTTTAAAATTTATTTGGCTGCCTCAGATCTTAGTTGCCATACACAAGATCTTTTGCTACTGTGCTTGGGCCCCAAAACATGTGGGATTTAAGTTCCCTGACCAGAGGTTGAACCTGAGTCCCCTGCATTGCAAGGCAGATTCTTAACCACTGGACCAACAGGGAAGTCCCTAAAAAATGAACTCTTAAAGAGAAAACTATTGGATGCAGTGATAGAAAATGTGTGTGTGTGTGTGTGTGTGTGTGTTAGATTAGGCTGATGTTCAGATTTTCTTCGTCCCTTATATTTGGTGAACTTGATATATCAATGGTTTTAAAATTATATTAAATTTCCCACTATGTGGACTGGTTTGTCAGTATCTCCTTGTAGTTCTGCTAGTATTTGTTTGAAATATTTTTAAGACACCTTGCCCGGATATTTCAGGAGTCCTTACCGAAACAGGCTGTGGTGTGGCTGCAGTTGAACCTTGACTCCTAATTATGAAACCAGTAAATTTAACCATGAGTCTTGTGGCTACCTTCACTTCAGAATGTCTTGTTTATTGAAGTGGAAATTTCTGAATGAGAGACCAAGGTATTGCCTGCTCAGTGAGAAAAAAAAAACAAACCCAAAACCCAAATAAACATTTTATTAGGGACACACATTTTTGGAATTGTTCTTTTCTTGAGAATTGTTCTGATTATCATTATGTAGTGATTCTCTTAATCTCTAACAATGCTTTTTACCGTAGATTCCATCTAACATTAATATGATACGTAATACCAATAATTTCCTTATTAGTCTCTCTGTTACCAGTCTTTCTCTTATAGTTCATTCTTCACATACAATATTCTTTAAAAGAGTAAATCTTTAAAAAAAAAAAAAAAAAGTAAAAATCAGATCATTTGATTCCATATTATTGCCCAGAGGACAAAGTCTTCCACATCCTGCTCCTTGCATTCCCCCATCTTTATCTGTAGAAAATGTCCCCCATTCTCTGAGAATATGATTGATTTATGTCTCTGAGTCACTTGCTGTGGCCTTTCTGCTTCCATTCTATTTCTGCTTGTTGAACTCTGCCTCATTGCCAGCTCAGGTGTTACCTTTGTGCATTTTTGCTCTTTGTCCCCCAATATAGAATTAGTTATGCCTTGTGTGTGTGTCTGTTTCCCTTTTTTTTTTTTTGCCCTCATTTTTTTTTTTATGGAGGTAAACTTTTATATTCAATGAAATGCATAGAGCTAGGAGGACAAGTTGATGATTTTGGTAAATGTATACACCTTTATAACCATTACCCCAATCAAGATACAGAATATTTCCTGCAGCCCAGAAAGTTATCTCATGCCCACTTCTGGTCAGTCCCTGCCAACTGATAGGTAGGTAACCACTACCTGTAGGTAGGTAGGTAATAGGTAACCACTGTTTTGGTTTCTACCACCATAGATTAGTTTTGCCTGTTCTTAAACTTCATGTAAATGAGTGATACAGTACAGACTTGTTTTCTTATTACCCAGACTCATGTCTAACTTCTTTCACTCATTGAACTTCATGTTCTTGAGATTTAATCTCATTTTATATATATCTGTAGTTGATTCTTTTTTATTCCATGATATGAACATATCACAGTGCTTTTATCCAGTCTCCTGTTGATGGATATTTGGATCATTGCTAGTTTGGGGCTATTGTGAGTAAAGCTGCTGTAAACATTCTTTTTTTTCTTTGGCTGTACTGCACAGCACGTGGGGCCTGAGTTCCCTGACTAGGAATCGAACCCATGTCCCTTGCTACAGTGGAAGCATGGTGTCTTAATCACTGGACTGCCAGCGAAGTCATTATGAACATTCTTGAACAAGTTTCTGTGAACATGTTTTCATTCTCCTTAAGCAGGTACCTAGTGGTAGAATGCTCAGTCATGAGGTAAGTAGGTGAATGTTTATAGGAAACTGCCAACAACATTTTGCTTACTCTTTAATAATATTTTTCACAAAAGTTGAATTGATTGGTTTCTGCCTGTCTCTTCTGTAGGGCTGATAGCTCTTCAAAACTGGGACATATCTTACTGTTTGTATTTATACCAGTGCCTATTTCAGTGTCTGGTGCATAGTTGGTGCTCCACAAATGTTGAGTAACTATTAGTTCTTTATTTGTATTACTTTTATGGAACTTATCACAGTCTATCTTATGGGTTGTATTCATCTTTCTTCCCTTTTAGGTTGCAAGCTTCTTAATGAGTAGAAATTTGTTTTATTCTTGTTTGTATTTCTCAGATATCTTGTGGCATTGTTTTGAAAATTACTTGTGATGGATAGATGATTGAATAAATAAGCCTGTCATCTAGAAGGTGAAGACCCTGGGCAGAAAACTAAGAGAAGTTTGCTTTCTCTCTCTACTGATTGGGAAGAAGGAGAGAAGGAAAACCAGGCAGAGCTTCTGTTATACCCATTGCTCGAATTTGGGAGGTGTTTGTGCTCACTGGGCCTGTTGGCCCGAGGTGAACCTTTTGTCCTGCCGTGTTCTGTCGTGTTCGCCTCCTTTCCAGTACCAAGGTTGCAGCAGTAAGGGAAGGGTCTTATGTTTCCTTGGTGCGACTGGTCCTAAGGCGGGTTGTGTGGATAGTAGAAAGTTTTTTAATAGCACTGTATTATCCAATACTTTGGCCACCTGATGCGAAGCGCTGACTCATTTGAAAACACCCTGATACTGGAAAAGATTGAAGGCAGGAGGAGAAGGGGACGACAGAGGATGAGATGGTTAGGTGGCATCACCGACTCAATGGACATGAGTTTGAGTAGACTCTGGGAGTTGATGATGGACAGGGAGGCCTGGAGTGCTGTGGTCCATGGGGCTGTGAAGAGTCGGAAACAGCTGAGCAACTGAACTGACAAATTGACATAGAATTAGGTTTTCACTTCACATAAGTGTGTTGCTTATGAAAGAGAGGAAATGGATATAGTATTTGAATATTTGGTATTCTGTTCTTATTTTGCAGTTAAATCCAGATGTGAACGTTTTCCAGAGGAAATTTGTGAATGAAGTTAGAAGATGTGAAGAAATGGACCGAAAGCTTCGTATGTGCATTTTGGTCTTGTCTGACGTTCCTCTAGTGACCCCTTTGTCTTAAATTAGAGTCCTCTTCATAAAGGAAGAAAATACCATGAAAGGAAAAGGAGAGAGGAAGAATCTTGCAGTCTAATGTGAAGATGAATTTCTTATACACAAGTAGATGTGTGGTATTTGGGCTTGGTGGTACTTAATAGAAACTTTGAGATGACAGGACTGCAGGCTGAAAATACTCTTGTTTTGTTTTGTTTTGTTTTGTTTTTTTATGAGAAGGGTTTTATGGCAGTGCTACACTGTAGAATTCTGAGAGGTAGGACCTAGAACACCATCAATTTTAGATGGCAGCATGCTGCTGCTGCTGCTGCTAAGTCGCTTCAGTCGTGTCCAACTCTGTGCGACCCCACAGATAGCCGCCCACCAGGCTCCCCGTCCCGGAGATTCTCCAGGCAAGAACACTGGAGTGGGTTGCCATTTCCTTCTCCAATGCATGAAAGTGAAAAGAAAGTGAAGTCGCTCAGTCATGTCCGGACTCTTAGCAACCCCATGGACTGCAGCCTACAAGGCTCCTCCATCCATGGGATTTGCCAGGCAAGAGTACTGGAGTGAGTTGCCAGATGGCAGCATAGCCAGCTTTAAATTGTCTATTTATGCGGGAAGAACCTAACATTTATTGAGATACTATTGAGAGTTAGGGTGTTCATACACTTTATTTTGTTCATTCCTCACAACATTCCTTCAAGATGAGTATCAGTTTCCTTATTTAAATAAATGCGGAAGCTAAAGATCAGAGAGGTTAAGTGACATGCCCAAGAATACACGTGGTCACGATGGGATCAGTGTTTAAATCCAGGTTGTCTGCCTCCAAAACCCAAGATCTAGCTGCTGTATGATGCCAACTTAGATGAATTTAGTTAGTTAGGTGAATTTAGTGTCTGTGCTGAAAAACAAGTCAGTAGTTATCACCTGAAAACACACTTTTCTCCTGTTTTGGGGGCCTTTTCTGTGCTTTGTTTCTTGTTTTGTTTAACTCAGAACTGACCTATTTTCAAATTTAATGAAACCCTTGTAGGTTGGAGTTGTCTCACTAGTGTGCTGAGTGTCAAATATTCTACTGAGTAACACTGTACTGTAGCTCTCCTCTGCACCAATATCTGTGACCAGAGCCATCATACAGGGTTGAGAGCTGACACAGAACCAGTCTTAAGATCAGAAGAGGGAAAGAAGACAGTAGTGGACTGATAAACCTTTTTGCAGGAACTGTGCTTTAGAGAATGTGGGGTAGGAGGAAGAGGAATGTGAAGAAAAAAGGATTTATAAGTTCTGCTTCTTTTATATGAAAAGTGTCTTTCTTAGAATGAAGCTCTTCTTAGCCAGGTTTGGGATCTTATTATTTTTTTCCTCAGATATTGGCAGTTCCAGACATGTGGAGCTAGGCATGAATGTTTTGATTCTGTCATTCTAGGATTTGTTGAGAAAGAGATAAGGAAAGCTAACATCCCAATTATGGACACTGGTGAAAACCCAGAGGTGCCCTTCCCCCGGGACATGATTGACTTAGAGGTAAATAATTCTTCTGAGGAAGCCAGATAAGTTTCTTTCTACTTAAGGGCAGAAATTACTTTCCTAAGTAGATGGAATGTAGAATAATTCTTGCTGTCCTTGTCTGTTGATTGCAAGTTTCTTGTGGATGGGATTAAAATGAATTTCCTTTTTTATGGTATAAAAATCACTGTGGTATTAATATCTCCAATACTGTCACATACCACTAAATTAATGTTTATTGGCTTGTTGAAACTTTATTGTATTAATGTTAATTTATCTAGTAGTTTATTAATAATCTCATAAACTGAATAGCCAATAGACTTTTCAATCATTATTTTATCTAAAGTCCGCTGAGGGATTTAACCAAGTGTATAACAGAATCTATAGACAAAGAGAGACTATTTTAAGCAAAAAAAAAACTTTCATAAAGAAAATTGCCCTGGTAAAAACACAGTACAGTCATCCCTCAGTAACCAGGGAAGATTAGTTCCAGCTCTTCCCTCGATATCAAAATCTGCTGGTGTTCAAGACCCTTGTATAAAATGACTGTAGTATTTGCATATAACCTATGCTCATCCTCCCGTATACTGTAAATCCTCTCTGGATTACTTATAGTACCTACTACAATGTAAATGCTATTGTAAATACAGTTATCATTGTATACAATTAATCATTATAAATACAATGTAGATCACAGGTAAAGTAGTTGCTAGTGAGCAACAGATTCAAGTTTTGCTTTTTGGAACTTTCTGGAAAATGTTTCTCCCCAAATATTCTTGAACTATGGTTAACTAACATAACTATGATTAACTAAACAATCTGCAGATATGGAACCAAAGAATACACAGGGCCAGATGTATTGCTGGGTAGATATGAAGATACCTTTGAACATTCTGTGTGGCCAGCATTCTGTGGGATGGATTATTTCATCTGTCTTTTAGAGCAAGCATTTTGAGCTTAGTGTGAGTTAATAGTTTGGTTGTTTTTTTGTTTGTTTTGTTTTTCTATAGGCTAATTTTGAGAAGATTGAAAATGAACTGAAGGAAATCAACACAAACCAGGAAGCTCTGAAGAGAAATTTCCTGGAACTAACTGAATTAAAATTTATACTTCGCAAAACTCAGCAGTTTTTTGATGAGGTCAGACTACTGTTTCTTTTAGTATTTAAGCAGCTGATATTATACCAGGACTAATGGGCCATATTTTTATTCCAATAATTATTTTAATTTGCTAGTTTGGAAACTTTCAATACCATTTCTGCACCCTGTTTTAGTTGAAGAAATGTCAGATTCTGTTCCATTTTCCATGCAGTACACAGCCAGCCATGGTTTTGTATATTTTTGCATTTTCAGCAGTTTTTCATCTCAAGATGAGGAAAGGAACCCTAAAGTAGTTGTATAAACATAGATGAAATTTTACATATGAAGGTAAGTATATGTTTGAAGTTGAAGCAGCAGGAAAAAGTTATACATGAAATTGAAACAAAATTTAATCTCCAAACCTCTTGTCATTAAATTTTAACTTGTATCCTCTATGGTTGCTTGTCAACCTTTGAGCATATTTTTAAGTACTCCAGATGGCAAGCACACTTAATTTGAGAGCTGTTTTTTATGTTGTATGGAAAATTGGTAGGATACCTGTTTGAAATTCCTGGATTTTCCTCTAAACTCAACTTCAATACCTTGTAGGTGCAAAATGTTAATAATAAATTCCTGGGTTAAAAATGTAGGTGACTCAGTTGCCAGGGGACAGCTTGCTGAAGTGACCCCACCACAAGGATTTGGAACAAGGCTCTCAAAAGGCTTCCTTCTTCCAATTAAAGCTGGGGAGTAGTGTGGACATGCTTTTTCTGATGGCCTAAAATATGGATAACTCTTCTTTTTTATAGGTTTCTTTGCCAACCCATTAGCTGCATCATACATTTCATAGATTGTTCCAGTCACTATTCAATATACTTTCCCATAAGTTCTTTTTTTAAAAAAATATTTCAGCCACACGTTGCAGCATGTTCCTTGACCAAAGATTAAATTCATGCCTCCTGCAGTAGAAGCACTACACAGAGTCTTAACCACTGGACCACCAGGGAGACCACCCCATTAAGTTCTTTATTTCCTTTGCTCAACAAAAATTAGCAAAGTTTTTAAAAAACAAAAGGCCTACTTTAGTTAGTATCTGATAAGTCCTCAGTTTCACTTTTAATTTCTATGTTTTGAAGAAAAAATAACTCTCCCTAGTTCTCTAGCCTGGAGCAGGGGTTTGCCAACTAGCAACATCAGCCTCACCTGGGAACTTATCAGAATGTCAGTTCTCAGTCCTCACTCCAGACTCACTGAATCAGAAACCTGAGGGTGGGGCCCAGTGATCCGTTTTCACAAGGTGATTTTGAAGCATGCTAGTGTGAGAACCACATGGGGCTGGAGAAAGTCAACTGAAGACGTGATACATTCCTTAGTAAATGAAGATCCGACTCAGAGAAACCGTGCTAATTAACAAGATCTACTGGAGCCAGGGAAAGGGGGAAAAGTTCCTAGGAATTAAATTGCCTGGTCCTCCTGAGAATCAGGGTCTGGCTACATATCAGGAGAGAATTGGTGCGAATATTCAGTTTGCTCACTGAGTTGAGAATTTTGAGACTGACGGTAGCTTCTTTTACCAGTCCCCGATATCATCATATTAAAGGATGTGGGACAGTGTAATTAACTCTTTCCAAGTGTTTCAGGTCTTTTGCAATGGGCATGGTCACTTATGTCAAGTAGTTTTTGATGAACAAATAATCTGGAATTCCAGTATACTCACTGCCTAAACATTATTATTATTTAATAACATTAAATAATAATATATTATATTTGATAATAGTAATACAACATTATTATTGTTGGATCATTTGAAGAGCACTTGCTCTTTGTGAGACATCAGCTGGGTGAGACATGGTCTCTGTGTTCAAGGGCTATATCACTTAGTCATGTCTGGAAACATCCATAAACACAGTGATTCCCTAGGCTCACATATGGTGTGGTTTTTATACATGTCCAAGCTGCTGCCCACAGATCCAAAGTAAACCCGGCCTCAAGATCAAAGCTCAGTTACTTTTATCATTACTGGATACTTAGTTCTTTTACCCTCTACCTGCCTTTTTCCCCCTTTTGATATAGCCTTTAGTTTACTGCTGGGATATTGATGAGATACATGAGAATGTTTTTCATATTCTCCTGAGTTTTAAGAATTGGGATAGACTTCCTAGTCTAGTTCATTCTGGTAGAAATTCTGAAAAAAGACTGACAAATGGACTCCCTTAAGGAAAATAGTTTTTTAAACTCTTCATTTTATAATACAAAAAAAACCCCCACAGTAATAGTAAAAACAAAATAAGCAGAATCACTTGGAAAGATGATAGAAGATTTTAAAATTGTTTCTGTGGGTTTAGGAATTTTCTTTGTGGTTAATAGGTGTAAACATGAAATGCCCATCTTTAGAAGTCAGGCATGACCTTCACACCCTCTCCATTTTGCATCGTTTTCCCCCTCCTATTCATGCAAAGCATTTTTTTGAGCTTGAGGCCTTGGGTGTGAGAGGCTCTTCTGCTGCGATCGTCATCAGTCCCTCTATTTCCAGTGGCAGGAACCCCTCCTTTTCTCTCCTAGTGCACAGTCAGCATCTTATCCACTCTGGCCATTAGATCATAGCCTCGGCCAGGTCCCTTTCAATAGCCCCTGCCCTGCTGAGGCCAGACAGCAGTCTCAGTTGTCGCTGCCAGGACAGGAGACAGAGCCTCACAGAGTTCAACACATCTGCACCTGCGAGTGCACGCTTCACATGATGCAAAAGATCAGGAGACTTGGGACCTCAAGTCTCAGAAATGTAGACTTTTCATGAGCCTTTCTTCCATGCCTGAGATTATAATGTTTGCCAATGGCCTGAAACACTACCTATTTTAAACCCTTCTTTTGAATATAATTTGGTGAATATGATCAGTAATTTACAATAATGAGTTAGCAGAAAATGACTAAATCAGAAAATGATTTGCTGCATCTCCAGGCATAGGGGTTATGATTGGCTAGGTATGGAGAAGGGGAGAGGTAAACACATATTGAATAGTCTTATGATTTATGATGATTACAAATTCAACTTAGCCATTTCTTATCCAGAGCATTTTAAATGACTTGTTAATGATTATCCTTTTCTCAGTCTTCTTGCTTATGAAGAACTGTAAGAGCTGGAGAGATTTCTCTGCATCTTTTACCATAAGCACCATAACATATGAGAGCGTAAAGAAGACTGGAAAAGTAATGGTTAATGGCATGCAGAGCCCTGCCTTCCTTTCCTTCTGACTTTTCATCCATCTGCTTTCTTTACTTTTCTTTCCCATCTGCCATCTCCTTTGGGGCTTGCGTGAATACCTCGGGTGGTGAAATGTAATTTCTTTCTCATGTCGATGGAAAGAAAAGTGTTTGCTCTTGGTCATGTAGCTTGAACTGGATGTGCTGCTTATACTGCAGTGTAGAAATAGAACTATTGAAGTTGTGCTACTTCCTCTTTCAAGGCATGGTTTTAGTATTCTGACTGGGGGAAGGGGTAAACCAGAGGGCATAGCAAGTAATGTAGAAGAACCTTGGTAGTACTTTTATGAGAGAACCCAGATTAAGATTGAGATACTTGATGACATGGTTTTAGATATTGCTTTAAAGACCCTCAGTTAGTGGTTCTGGACAGTTTCTCATCAGGCACAATTATTTCATTTGAAGGATTCTTAAGTTTGAAATGGTGTAATTATTAATTAGAATATTACTGTAAATTTGTATTTGATTTTAATTCTGTTTTTTTTTTTTGTATTCCCAGAGATTCTAGATGGAGCCTCCTCCTTTAGAGGAGCACTATTTGCTTTTCCATCAGTTCTCCCCTTTAGAGCCCATATATTTGCACTGAGCTTTACCTTTATGGTTTACTTAAACCAGGCATTGTGAACCATGCAGACTTGTGAGTAGTGGTCAGTTTCACTGGTTTTTGCTAAGGGACATCCTAAAAGCAAGATGAAATGCTGTAGTTACTCTGGATCCTCAAAGCAAGTTGCCTGTGGTTTGTAGTCAGTGGATTTGATTTTAAGTAGAAACAAGAATTGCTCACTTGAGAACAAGTGCTAACCCATGCCCTCATTATCTCATCTTAAGCTTTCCCAAATCTCATGGTGGTATTTCTCTGCACTCCTGGTGTGCCCACTGCCTATCCTTCCTTTTTTTTTTTAAAGATAAATTTATTTCTTTTTTCTTTTGGTCATTGAGAGTTGATCCTGCTTCTAGAATTTACTTCCTGAACAATTGCTTTCACTTGTTTAGACTTTCAGACTTATCTGATTTATACTCAGTTCCCCACCCCCACCCTGTGACTTTACATTTATAGTCCTGTGACTATCAAGAAGGGATCCCCTGTGGCATTTTTTTTTTTTACAGCAGGGTTGATAAGAGTAGAATCAAATTGAAATTTGGAGTGAATATGATGAGAAAAATTCTCCTGACTTCATTTTTATTTAGTTCTGCTTTTGAAAAGGAAGATTCCTCTGGCTCACTTCTAGTCTTTGGTCAAACAGGTAGGGCATGGATATTGCAGCTGGGGAGATGAGGCAGTGGAATGGTCAGTTGGCCTTCATTTCTTAGGGCAGCTCCTCCTTCCTGCTGAGAGGAAACAAGGCGAGATGTATTGTGGAGAGAGAGGCTGAGAGGAAACGGGGCAAGAAGTGTTGTGTAGAGAAAGGCTGAGAAATGTAGGTCTGCATCTGAGAAGGCCCCGCTCCTCCTCCATTTTATTGTATAAACTGTCGTGGTGGAAATCATTTTAAATCTCAACAATCCAACTAGTCCACATGTTCTGAACTGGCTTATTACCTGTTACTTTTTCTTCACTTGATTTAGATTGTTGGCTTAAGCTATGTTCTCAAGAATCCTTAAACTGTAAAGCCCACAGGAACTTTTTACTATTCTGGATTCCTGGTCAGAAACTAGGACATTCAGGTATGTTTTCACTTTTCCTTCCCTTTATTGATGCAGTGGAGGCCCATGCCTGCCCAGCTATTGTGTTTCTTACGTTTTTGGACAAAGAATACTCTTTAAATCCCACGGTTTGGAGCATTTTTTTTTTTCCTTTTAAATAGTGGGTGTGCTGAAAGCCCTCATGTTTTGACTTTTTAAGGGCATGGAAAACCTAGATGTCTGGAGACACCCCTTCTATCTTTCTCCTGTTCAGGACAGTGACAGCTCCTTGCTTTTCTTCCTGGGAAAGAGAGTCTCCATCTTTTACATTCTTACACAGGGAAAATTCTAATTTGTAGCTGCCTGGAAGTTTGATACTGAATGTATCTGTTGAGCTGCCTTGTTTTTGCTCAAAAGGAAGAAATACTTCTGCTTCTATGCATATGCAAAAGTATTTTTGGTACTTTCCTGGCTTATTCAGGAAAACATAAGAGAAAAAATGGTTTCCACCAAGTCACAGGTTTATACGGGTGTCACTGTCATTTAACGTCTTTTTCTTTATTCCTTATTTCTAAAACCATTTCCCCAGATGCTTCACTGGGGCAGTTCTGCTTCCTTTACCTCTTGTTTCTTTTCTTTGTTTCTTCCCCTATTCTTCTTCTTTTTGTGGGTATGTCTTCTCTTTTGGTGGTTTTCTTTTTTTCATCTTTATTTTCTGAACTTATCTCCTGGTTCCTCGTTCCCTGCATGCCACTAACTATTTTCATTAGATATTAATTGATTTGTGAATTCAGGCTGAATTGCATCATCAGCAGATGGCGGATCCAGACCTGTTGGAAGAGTCCTCGTCCCTCTTGGAGCCAAGCGAGATGGGAAGAGGCACGCCCTTAAGACTTGGGTGAGTTCCACTTCGACCCTCTGTACTCAACAGAGTCATGTCCATTTTTGCTGTTCAGAAGAGCACTCAGGCTGAGCATTCACTGGCTTCCAGGATGCCCTCTCTTCTGAGCCTGTTGCAAGGTGTTGCTAACTTACTTTGGGTTCAGTTCCTGAGTTGTTCTGTCAACCCTCTGCTGAGTCTGGGAATCAGACTTTGGCAACCATTTTGACATAGCAATGCACAGCCTCCTGTTTGACGTCTCTCCCCTCCCCTGCTCTTCACTTTCCTCCCATCCTGTGGTGTGGAACCGTTCCTAATCTGACTCTTCTCCCCACAGCTTCGTGGCTGGTGTGATTAACCGGGAGCGCATCCCTACTTTTGAGCGCATGCTTTGGCGGGTGTGCCGGGGGAATGTGTTCCTGCGGCAGGCTGAGATCGAGAACCCCCTGGAGGATCCTGTGACTGTAAGACAAGGGAATTGCGTCTGGTGGAGTAGGTCTGGTACAGGGAGCTCAGAGCAGTAACATAGCATGTGCCACCTGAACCTGACCCTCCCAAGAGGAGCCCTTACATTTACTCCATTTGGATCTGTGAATTTGAGGGACTCCTCTTTTCCTCTTCGCCTCCATCGTATGTATACATACAAGGTATACATGATGTGTGGGATCTTAGTTCCCCTACCAGGGACCAAACCCAGGCTACAGCAGTGAAAGTGCTGAGTCCTAACCTCTGAACTGCCAGGGAATTCCCTCCAGTTATTTCAGCTTTATGTGTTTTCCGGTACTTATCTGGGACCAAAAAAACATTAACTCTTTAATGAAAATTAAAGCAAGACATCTGGTTCCAAGTTTGGTAACACCCATGTGTACAAGGAGGAGAGATTTCCCAAACTGTGGTCTTCATAAGTTGATGAAACTTTAATTGATAAAAGTTTTCTGTCTATTTGTTTGTTGGGAATTTTAGGAACTTAGTTTTAAGATTTATGTTGTGCAAGATAGGATGATATTCCCCACCCAATGCTTTGGAAAGCAGGAATAACTTAACATCTTGGCATTTGAGATAACAGGACAGAGTTCTTAGCATAAGCCTACATTTATATGATGAGTCCATCCAGAGATGACAGGCAAAGATGATTAACTGTTCTGCAAGCAATTTACTTCACTTTGGTATTAGTATTATTTAGAAGCCTGGAGTTGGTTATTATGTTCTCAGTTATCTTTTGGGTGTCTTAAATTAGTATTTTTTTTTTTTTAAACCTAAGAAGAGAGATTGAATTATGAGGCTTCTCAGAGTAGCTGGGTCCTTCAGCTGGAAGTAAATGAATCATGTCCTTGGAACGAGTAGGAGGGTGGTGATGCTTAGGTTACGGTGAGTCCCCTTACCCAAAGTACCAATTTTGTAGTCTCACTGAAGGCTGTCCTTGGGTCATGGAAACACCACAGTCAGCAGTTACACCTCATGTGGAGCTATTCTCAGGAATTTTCAGCCAGGTTCCTGGGCAACAGAAGCATTATTTTTTTTATCAACGAGTGGAGTAAAGGGAGGGTCTGGCTATCTCTAATACAGCAGCTGCACAAAGAATGTGCTCCAGTTAATTCCTGGAGAACTTAGGAATTTAAGACCCATGAGCCTTACTTACTCCTTCCCTCCTCTTCCCTCTTTATCCTCCAAAGTTTTGTTTGTTTTCCTGTTATAAAAGCTCTGTAGGAACTGGAGAAAATACAGGCCACCAGAGATAGTCCTAACTCTAACACCCACTGTAGAGTCTTTTTCTGATCTTTCCTACTAACCTTTGCCTCAAGGCTTCAGGTATACACTTGGTGTTTGGATAGATTGCCTTCCTCCCTGCCCCCTGAGGTCTAATTCAGCATGAATCATGAGATTGTGCATCAACATTTCTCCCTAGCTGCTCAACTCCTTGTAGTTATTCAGTCCCCTTTAGCTCGAGTTTCTGAGCATGCGAGCAGGCAGGAATGACTTCCTTTCCTCTTCTCTGTATTTGAGTCATTTAGGCAATATAAGAATTATTCAGTTTGAATAGTTGAATTGGTAGGTAGGGCTAAATTCTGCTAAGAAGAGAATCATCTTTGCATCTGTGTCAAGCTCCTTGTTGAGTTTAAAAACAAGTATGGAAAGATTATTGAGATTATAGAGCAAATGTTCTTGTGGAGCTTAAGAGATGGATTGAAGATAATGGTTAAAGTACATGGTTGCCAGACCCTTAAAGGATTCCAGTTGTTTCTATGTCACCAAGAAAGAAAGGTGCTTAAGAAGTTTTCTGGATTGTAAGTCTGAATTCTTGGTTTTTGGTTTGGGGCCTAGGGAGACTACGTGCACAAGTCTGTGTTCATCATTTTCTTCCAAGGTGATCAGCTGAAAAACAGAGTCAAGAAAATCTGTGAAGGGTAAGAGAAACATGCCTCCCCCCAGGGTGCAGCCAGGCCACCTGTTAAGCCTGTAGAATAGTGACACAAAAGCCCTGTAAGTCCACCTTAAATGGGGAATATATTTTTTAATAATGTTAAGGTTATCTTAAATGATCAGAAATGGCCTAAGTATTTTTTTTAATAGACCGTCAAAAATCACAATTTCCTTTTCTTGGGAAAAGTAATTAGGACTCATGGTTTATAAATTCTACATTGTTTTGGGACAATGGGTTTGCATACCTAGCAGTGTACCGTAGGCACTGTGCCCTTAAGCTTTTCTGAAATTCTGCCCATGAGATCCTTTCTCCACACTGTTTTTCTCCAGCACTTTATAATGGAATTTGTAATCACTGCTTCTTTCTTTTTTAATCTAGAGGCATTTAATAGCTACAGAGAATGCCAAGGCAGTTCAAATGTTGCTTGATGCTCTACTGTAGGCCCCTTCCCATAAATAATTATTGTGAATTAGTGCATCAGTCTGAACTAACCCTGTTTTGGTCCTTCCAGTATGTTGGGATTATGTTCTGAGATTACTTAAACTGGCTCCGTGAAGCAATGTCAGTGTTCCTCAGGCTGTGTCTGCACATTCCAGGTTCCGGGCCTCACTTTATCCCTGTCCTGAGACGCCGCAGGAGAGAAAGGAGATGGCTTCTGGAGTTAATACCAGGATTGACGATCTCCAAATGGTACATAGAGACCTGGAGGGAGTTTGTCTTTCTGAAATACTGCTATAGAAGACCTTACTTCTTCCTTGAAGCACTAACTGTTTATTAGGCACTTACAGCAGCCCAGGATACTTTTTTTTTTTTTTTGATACATTTGTTTTTTTGTGTGTGTGCTATTTTTAAGTCATTCCCTGAAACTCTTCCCCATCTCCCACAGGGAATGATTTAAAAATGGCATGAATTATCTTCAAACGAGACAGAGACAGCACCTGAAATCGTTGTTGCTTAGAATATTCAGTTCCCCAGCTCATGAGTCTGAGATACATTTATAATGAATGAAGTATGAGGTATGAATAATGAAGTATGCTTAGTTAAGAAAAAATCAAATAATGTAGAAGTACATATCAAATCAATTCTGCCTCTCACAGACATGCTCTACCTCCAGAGGCAGCCACTCTTAATAGCTTGGTGTGTGTCCTCCTGGTCACCTTGAATCTGAACCATACAGTCTAGCCAGAGTCCTTGTGTAACTCTTGTACCCAGGAAGGAACTTTTTCCCAGTTGCAGTGTGTGTAGTTTGCACACATGATGGCTGTCACAGGGTTCTAAAGAGGGAGTCATGATTTACACATACATGGAAGGAAAAGGGTGCCCAGCTGGAGCTTGGTTCCCTGTTGAAAGAATGTAATGACTGCCACCTTGAAACATTAAGAAACATGTTTGACGTGTTGAAGCATTTCAACCCCTGTTGTGTATGACCTACCACTTGACCTGCTGCTGGCTCCTGTTAGCTGCACTTATCAGTTTAACCAAGGGAAGAGAGTTTTCTTTGAACTGCTGATGGGTGATGAGCCATGTTAGTACATTCTGGCTTCTAGAACTGTTCTACCCCCTCCTTATGAGTAGGCTTGCAGTAGACTGTGAAGAACATGTGCAGTAGCCTTTATAAATGGCTAGAATTTGACTTTTAAAGCACCAAACTGTATGAAGTAAAATTTTAATGAATTAATTTTTTGAAGTAAAATTTTTAAAGGGATTGAATATCAATTAGTGAGATGTAGGGGTGGGGGCAAGTTTATTAGCATCCTTCCAGAAGTTTAAATAGTCATTGTGAAATTGTCAACAACCAGGAAAGAAAGTATCCTTGTTCCTTTATTTTCAAGTGAACAAGAGTTTCCCTAGCATGCCATGGGTTTTTTTTTTTTTAAACGTCTCATGGAAGTTACTTTCTACTGCCCAAGACAGTTTCCCAGGGAGCAGTCATGACTTGGAGCAGTCATGACCTTTTCCTTAACTGACTTGAAGAGCCAGCTGTGATGGAGTACTTGTGCTAAAATGATTAATATATAGTTCTTTCCTCTTCAAAAAGGCGTTGAGATTTCAGATAGAGTCTTAGGCACAAATGAATGGTGAGTTGCTTGCCTAATTTTGGCTTCTCCCCTCTCCTGCTATAGACCTATTAAATATTTGGTGATAAACAAGACAGTAGAATGTAAAGTGTCCCTGGCCCTTCTCCCACCTCTGGTGGAGGCAGTATTATTCCTCCGAGGTAACTATTTGCTGACTTCCAAGGGATCGGGCTTCCTGAGGAGAAAACAAAGCCTGACAGAAAAATCAAGCCTTATCTGCTCTGTGATGACTGTGGTATGTGGCAGTCTAAATCCTCTCCAGAGGCCATGAGTCTCCTGTCGCCTTCCCCGGCATGGAGTCTCTAAGAAGCAGATGATGGTGGTCAGCAGCACCTCTTTTCCACCACTCCTCAATGCTGGCTGACATTCAGGGCGGTTCTGCGGCCTGCTGATCATAAGCAGGGATGTGACAACTCAGTCCCTTACTGGGCCTCTGACACTGACTTCTTCAAGTCAGAGTTACAGGCTCCATATGGAAAATCATTGCTCTTTAATAAACCAGGTAAAAACCAGTGACCTGCGTTGTTCTGCCATGGATTTGGTGGTAAAATTTAGAAAAGCTAAAAACCATTTCTTCAGGTTTCTCTTTAGCTTGAAGCTAAGTGAATATGAATATTAGTAAGTAGAACTCTTAATTTCTTTCAATTTGGCCAAAAAAAAAAAAAACAAAAAAACTTCTAGCCAGAGGAAGAAAAAAAAACAGATCCCTGCACCCCTTCTCAGAAAGCTATTCCTTTTTGCCTTCATGTCCTGAAATGAAAGAAGAGTGTTAGAAGGATCGCTGTCCTGCTCCTTTCTCTCCCCAAAGGTTCTGAACCAAACAGAGGATCACCGCCAGAGGGTTCTTCAGGCCGCTGCCAAGAATATTCGTGTCTGGTTCATCAAGGTGCGGAAGATGAAGGCTATCTACCACACTTTGAACCAGTGCAACATAGATGTGACCCAGAAGTGCCTAATTGCGGAGGTCTGGTGCCCTGTCACTGACCTTGACTCCATCCAGTTTGCGCTCAGAAGAGGCACGGTGAGTCCCCCACAGCTGGCGGTGCAGCCTTCAGCCAGGAAGAGAGGTTTCCATCAGTGGTAACAGGAATCAGTTACATTCTCATGGCATTTTTGTCTCAGAGTTCTTCAGTTTACCCATCTTGTACTCACCTTGCATCCTGACAGAACATCTCATATATCCTTATTTTCAAATGTAGCAATTGTAATTCAGAAAAGATTAAGTGATTTGATCATATCCCCATGATCCTTCAGAGTTACACTCAGAACATCAGTTTCCTGGTCCATTCTCTCTGTCCATTAGTCTAGGTACATAGTATAACCCTTGCAGTTCCCTTTAGTAGTTAGTTAGAGCTACTGCCCTGTCCAAGTCTCTGATCTAGGGGCCAGGAGGTACAGAGATGTAAAAAGTAGGCCCTCAAGTATCTTCTGACTTGAAGAGGCTGATGTACAAACATACAGAACAGTCTGTGCCAAGAGCAGTTTGTGTGTGGAGGGAAGGAAGGTGCTAGCTTGGCCAGCGAGGATGATCAGAAGCAGCTTCAGGAAGGTGGCATTTACTCAGTGCTTTGAAGACTGGATGAGATGTCTGTTGGCAATAACAAGAAGTAAACAGTCTGGCCAAAGGCAAGTATAATGTGACCATGCATGGTTGGGCCAGAACAGGAATTGTAACAGGTGAGCTGAAAGAGCAGGAGGTAAACCTGAGTCAGAGAGCCAGGAACCTGATTATGAAGAGTCATTAATACCAGATGGGTGGGTTTAAATTTTATCCTAGAGGGAGTAGAGGGACACTGGAAGTTACTTAGCACTGAAAGGACATGATGATCAAAACAGTTTTAAGAGAATAATCCAGGGACTTTCCTGACAGTTCAGTAGTTAAGATTCCACGCTTCCACTCCAGGGGGTACAGGTTGGATCCCTGGTCAGGGAACTAAGATCTCATATGCTACATGCTGCATGACTCAGTCAATCAGTCAATCAGTATTAATCAATTAAATAAAAGAGTAATCCATTGATAGCATGGAGGTTGGATTGGGGAGCTGAGAGAGCCTACAAGTGGGAGGACAGTTAGGTTGTTGTAACAGTAGTAAGTGATAATGACCTTGCAGTAAGACCTGGTAATGAGAAGAGCAAATAATGATGAATTTGTGAGACATTCTGAAGGAAGTATCCTTCGATAGGCTTGGTGTTTAGCAACGTACAGGAGAAATACAAGGAGAAAAAATTTAAAATGTTTCTGAGGCATCGAAGCTGGGTGACTGATAGAATAATAGTTCCATTAATGGAAGTAGAGATTCAGTAAGAGAAACTTATTGATTGGAGAAAGCTGCTAAGCTCAGTTTTAGTCACATTGAGGGGTTGGACAGAAATCCATGTGGAAATGTAAAACCGACGATGAGATAGTTCTCAAAAGAAAGGGGAAAATGCCTCTATTTGACAGGCCTGGAGTAGTTACTCTCTGCTAAGGTTTCCACTACATACAGATGCAAGAAAAATATATCCTCGAGCTTTCTGTGTGTCTCGCTGTGGCAGCCCACATTGAATGGGAGAATACATGGGAAGATTTTTGCACCTCTCAAATAACCTTGTGAACAGTAAAAGCCTGCTTTACTCAAAAAAAAAAAAAAGGCAAAATGAAAGAAATGGGATACATGAGGTTGGAAGGGAATGAGACCTCCAAGAGAGAAAATAAGGAGTTAATAATAGAACCTTGGGGGCCTGCAGTGTTACAGGCAGGGGAGGAGGAACCAGCAAAGAGACAGGAAAGGCATGGCTGGTAAACAGAAGAGGAAGCTTGCCAGTGTCAGGGGCTTGCATGTAAGAGAAAAGATCTTTGGATCTGGTGATGAGCCAGCCACTTTGACCAGGCATGGTCTGCTAGACTCCAAGGATTATTAGAGAGTTAAGAGTAGGTGGTGAAGAGGGGAAAAGTCAGAAAATAACTTTGCTTTCTTCATAAAAGCAGGAGAGAACAATGACACTTGTGGACAGATAAGGATATCTTCAGGGAAGAAAGGACCACATTTTCTTTGTTTATACATTTTAGACTTAATTTTTTTGTTTCATGGTAAGGATATTCTTCCCAAGACTTCATTTACACGTGTCATCATAAATTTTATAGCTAGTTCTAGTGTCCTCAAAGACTGGAAAGATCGAGATATAATTTACCTGAAAGAAAACACACATTTTATGTATACTATTCAATGAGTTTTGGCAAATATGCCTGTGAATCCACCACCATATTCAGAAGGGTGACCTGATTCTTATCTGTGCTTGATGTTTCCCAGGAGCACAGTGGTTCCACCGTGCCCTCCATTCTGAACAGGATGCAGACAAACCAGACTCCCCCCACCTATAACAAGACCAACAAGTTCACGTATGGTTTTCAGAACATAGTGGATGCTTATGGAATTGGAACTTACCGAGAGATAAATCCAGGTAAAAAAGCTTGAATCTTTTCCCTCTGGAGATTTTATTCTGTTTGTTATTTCTTTTAATGCTTCACTTTGAATACAGTTGAACACCTGGCTCAAGACTGAAGATGCTGTCCAGGCCTCAGCTCTTGTAGAATTCCTGTGAAGAGGTGCCTATCTGGATGTAAGGAGTGAGGTTTATTGCCAGGTGGAACTCCTTTAGCAGGCAGTTTTATAGGCATGAGCTCCATAGATTGGGTTCCTCTGTCCTCACGGCTGTATAGCACTTGGCTTTCACTCACATGCCATTTTCTGGAACTGCTTTAAGTAAAAAGTTTTCCCAAGGTCTTTAACATTTTAGAATAGCTTCCTGGTTCCAGGTTAGGTAGAGAAAATATAGCAGTTGCTGACCATTTTAAGCCCAAGGCAGATTTCTCCTCTGTTCAGAGAGTTAGTGATTAAATCTAGAGTCAGGTAGTTCATGTTCAGTGGGAGTCTTCTGCGGGACCTGCTCTGCTCCAGATTCTGAACTTTCTCCCACTTAACCTGGTGGCTTTATTCAGCTGGTTGCAGTGCACAGGGGAGGAAAGTTGGCCTGTCCCAGGAGCAGCGTCCTAGGGGTGAGAGAGAAAGAATCAAGGGACAAACCCCCCTGATGCCAAAACCTTCATTTCTGTGTGATTCTTTGTTGAAAATGCAGGTGGTAGTTTTGTGAGTCTGTGCAAATCCTGCTGTGGACATTATTTCCTGGGAGCCCCTCTGACCAGCAGCTTAGGAATGAGTCCCTTTTATCCTGATCTTAGATTATGTGGAGGGATGTGATGTGTTGGGAGCTGTGGTTTTCTGGAATTTGTCTTTTTCTCTCTGGTCTCTTTATAGCTCCGTACACCATCATCACTTTCCCTTTCCTGTTTGCTGTGATGTTTGGTGACCTTGGCCATGGCATTTTGATGACCCTTTTTGCTGTATGGATGGTGTTAAGAGAGAGCCGGATCCTCTCCCAGAAGAATGAGAATGAGGTGATGTTTTGTCTGTCTGTTTTTGATAGAAATTCAGAAACATAAGATAGTATTATTATTTTCTTGACATATTTCTAATATTTTTCTTCTGTAATCTTTGTCTGCATACTGTTTTTGTCTCCCCATAGGGCAACAGGTTTATAATACTTTTGTACATACAGAAGGATAATTCAGTCTTTTCTCCATGATTGATGGAAATATATTTTCTTTTTACTTATTTGTTGAGATATTATTGATTTATAATATGACATTAGTTTCAGGTGTACAAAATAGTGATTCCAAAATTTTGTAGTTTACACTCCACTTATAATTATTATAAAATGTTGGCTATATTCTCTGTGCTGTACAATATATCCTTATAGCTTATTTATTTTATACATAGTGGTTTGTACCTCTTGAGTCACCTACCCCTATCTGTCCCTCTCCCCTTGACTCGCCCCACTGGTAACCACACACTAGTTAATTCAAGAATGAACTAATGTCTAGGTTACATCTGCGTTGGTCTGAACCTTTATAATTTCTCAAGCATCCATTATGAAAATTATAATTTGGAAGTCTTTGATCCATAAGAGAAATTTTAGAGACTATTTAGAGAATAGAGGAGCTATGTTCATTTTAACACTAAAGAGGCCATGTGCTGTGAAAGTACATTTCTTGTTAGCATTGTATTTTGGTCTTTACTTCAAGCTGTCTGACCCAGAATGGGATAAAAGTGGCGAGAGAGGAAGGGGCTAGTATATTTTGAATGACATTGTCACAACTTGAGCTGCAGGGATTATGTTTCATTGGCCTCTTTCTTCTGGCTCCCAGATGTTCAGCACTATATTCAGCGGCCGGTACATCATTCTGTTGATGGGTGTGTTCTCTATCTACACTGGCCTCATCTATAACGACTGCTTTTCCAAGTCTCTTAATATCTTTGGATCATCCTGGAGCGTACGGCCGATGTTCGATATATACAACTGGACGTAAGTTGCCAAGAAGCTGAAAGTCAAAGTTTATTCCTTTCATATCCAGCTCTGGATTTCCAGATAAGTGGTAAACCAGCACTTGTTTATGAAGTGTTTGACACTGTTTCTGTTCCAAAAGAATGTAGTGTCTCCTCTTATCTATGCTCCAGCCTGGGAAATGCTTTGTGATTTGTTCAGTAGTGTCAAGGAACTGTAAGTTAGGTGCATTGATTCTTTTTGTAAATTAAAAGCAGGGCTCCCAATTTCCCTACCCGGTCTTGTGTGTGTGTTTAACTTTTTTCTTTGTTATCTATGATCCCTTCTCACTCTCTAATGCTAATCCCTCCTCTGTTATTGAAAAGACAAGGTAGCTTATAGTAGTTTCTCTGGGGATCAGTTTCTGGATCCCAGTGATTCCTTCTCTTGATAAAAAAAATAAATGCCGGTTTTCTCCTAACATGGTAGGGAAGAGACACTTCGGGGGAACCCTGTCCTCCAGCTGAACCCAGCCGTCACTGGAGTTTTTGGTGGACCATATCCTTTTGGCATCGATCCAGTAAGAGCACGTCTTTTCTATATGTCTGACATGAAGTTGTTTTTTTTAATTGGCCATTCATGGCTTTTGGAATTTTGGTTCCCCTACAAGGGATTGTACCTGCACCCCCTGCATTGGAAGTGCAGAGTCTTAACCACTGCACTGCCAGAGAGGTCTCTAACATCAAAATTTTTAACTGAAACCCAGAAGTAAAAGCATGAAAGTGAAGATAAATAGTTTTTTTGGAGTTTTAGGTAACATACTTTTAGAAAACCTCAGTGTATCTGTCCAGAGTACTTTAAAGCTGCAAGAGACCCAGATGCCTTGGGGAGCCATATTATTTTTCCTGCATGACTGACTTTAGAGATGGCTAATAATACTGACTCTGGGAAGGTTGATTTTTCAAGACTCCTTCCCAGTTTATTTCTGTTTAACTTAGTTTCATTTTTATTTTTAGCAGATGTTTTAATAAAGCAAAAATAGCTCTTCTCTATGGATTTTAGATTACCATTCTTACATTTACATACTTAAAAAACTCATCCCAGAATTTTGTTTTATTTTTTTCAAATGTGTAAGCAAGTAAAGTGTGATCAAATCTTTTGTGTTATGTGCTTAAACAGAGGAGGTAGGGGAGAATTTAAGCATTAGATTGTAAGGATTACAGAATTCCAGAGGAAAAGCAGATCATTGCCAGAAAGATTGAGGTTTCTCATTAAAAAAATAAATAAAGGAATTAATCTGGCCTTTGAAAAATATTGCATATTGTTATAGGTGAAGAGAAGTATGTGCAAAAGCGTAGAGGTAGGGAGATAAAAAGTTAATTATTTTAATTTTTATAGAAGCTAATATTACTGAAATGCTTACTATGGACCAGGTACTATACTGAACCCTCAGCATATCTTATTTATCCCCAAACAATTCTATCAGGTAAAGATTGCTGTCTGTATTATACAGATAAGGAAACTGACACTTGAAGATATTTCATAACATTTCATATGTGCATTTAACAGATGTTTACTGAATCCCTATCGTCTATAAAGCATAGCAGCTGCTGGGGAAACACATCATTCTAAGACATAGCTCCTGCCCTCAAACAGCTTGGAATCTAATAATAATACTATCTCACATTTCTGTAGTGTTGTGTAGTTACAGAAGCTTTGTTGTTGTTTTTGCAGACATTTGATGGCTTACAGGGAAGGTCCTGAGTTTAAAGTGCCTGTGGGTCACCCGGGTATAAATGTCCATCAGGCAGTTGGAGTTGCAGAACCTTAGGCCAGACTGGGGCTACAGAGAGAACCAGCCAGAAGTTTTCAGGTTAGAGGTCACTGAGGATGAACTCTTCATGAAGAGGCTAGTTCAAAAAAAAATGCTGGGCTAGATGGTGGGAGATCTGGCCTAATAGGTTACAGAGTTTACTTTTGGTCGCAGAGGTGACGGGGATTCTTGGAGGTTTGGCATAGGGACATGGCTGCCTCAAAGTCATTACTTAGGAAACATACTCTGATGGCCAAAATGGAGACAGAACTGTCAGGAAAATTTTACAGGCATCCAGGCCTTAAGCGACAAAGTGAAAGTGAAAGTGAAGTCGCTCAGTTGTGTCCAACTCTGCGACCCCATGGACTGTAGTCTACCAGGCTCCTCCGTCCATGTCGCTTAAATCAAGCAACAAAGCTGAAGACAATATTTAAAAATAAATGGAAGGACAGCACCACTGGGTTTCAGCCAGCATCTACAAGATAAATGTCCCCAATTTCTTCAACAAATATTTTGTAATAAAGAGGAGAACTCCAGGGAGAAGCTATAGAGACTTAAGAATTGCTTCAGCAGTCATGTGATATAGTGACTTATTGGACTCTACTTTGAATAAATGAATTATTTTTAAAAATATGGATGCAATCAGGAAAATTTGAATATTAATGATTCCATGGTATTACAGAAATCATTGTTAATGCGTTGGGGTGTTATGACAGTACTGTAGTGATTTTTTTTTTTTTTTAACTGCACCAGGTCTTAGCTGCAGCACATGGGGTCTTCAATCTTTGCTGTAGCAAGCAGGTTCTTTTTTTTTTTTTCTAGCAGGTTCTTTTAGTTGTGGCATGCAGGATCTTTAGTTGCAGCAGGCAAGATCTAGTTCCCTGACCGGGGATTGAACCCAGGCCTCCTGCCTTGGGAGCACAGAGTCTTAGCCACTGCACCACCAGAGAAGTCCTTTGTGGTCATGTTTTTAAAATAAGCTCTTACCTTTTAGAGATCCATGCTGAAATATAATATGTACAGGTAAAAGGATACGATACCTGGATTTTCTTCAAAATAATATGGAGGTGGGGCATAGGTGAGGTAATGATGAAGCAAGATTGACGAGAAGTCAATAATTAATCATTGCAGCTGGGCCATAGATACATAGGAGTTTTTTATGTTATTCTCCCTGCTTGTGTGTATGTTTAGAATTTTCCACAATTAAAAAAAACTTTCTACAGTAGGTAAATATTTTTCCATTTGAGAACTGTTTGTAATGCCTTCTGTCTTCTTGGGCTGCGATAGATTTGGAACATTGCTACCAATAAACTGACCTTCCTCAACTCCTTTAAGATGAAGATGTCTGTTATCCTTGGTATCATCCACATGTTGTTTGGAGTCAGTCTGAGCCTTTTCAACCACACGTGAGTTGCTCTGTTTTGTCCTGAGAATTCACACAGTTCGGACAGTGCTTTTGCCTGAAGAAGTCATAACACCTTTAGGAGGAAGTAATAACTCAGAGCACTGTTCTGTATTGAAGAAGTGCCTTTAAAAAAAATCTCACTTCTTCAAATGAAGCTTGCTTATGAATATTCGTGCCTTAACAATGTATGAGTTTCCCAGGTGGCGCTAGTGGTAAAGAATCTGCCTGCCAGTGCAGAAGACACAAGAGACATGGGCTTGATCCCTGGGTCAGGAAGATCCTCTAAAGTAGGAAATAGCACCCCACTCCAGTATTCTTGCCTGGAAAATCCTGTGGGCAGAGGAGCCTGGCGGGCTACAGTCCATGTGGCTGTAAAAAGTTGGACACAACTGAGCCACTGAGCAGACAACATACAATTGTTCTCAAGATCTTTGTTAAAAAACAACACCTTGTGTAATTTTCATCAAAATGGAAGTTATGTTTTTTTCCCATGATGTGTAGCTCACATAAACTTGTGAATTGTAGTCTCAGAAGGTACTTGATTTTCCCATCTCTTTCTCACGAGGGATTTGACGGGGATGGTATTGGAGCTGTTCAAGGCTCAAAAGTTTGGAAGTCATCGTTAATCCTGCCTGTCTCTGTTGCCTCCAGTGCTTCTGGCTGTCACTTCTTAAAATGATAAACACAGAATTGATGGAAAGTTAGGTAGAAAGTCTTGGGAGAGCAGTCCGCTTGATGTGAGGTGACCCTGGGTCTGTTCACCGTTAACATTTTTTTCTGTCTTAACTTTTAGCTACTTCAAGAAGCCCCTGAGTATCTACTTTGGATTTATTCCAGAAATAATCTTCATGACCTCTTTGTTTGGTTACTTGGTTATCCTTATTTTTTACAAGTGGACGGCCTACAATGCTAAGACATCGGAGAAAGCACCAAGCCTTCTGATCCATTTCATAAATATGTTCCTCTTTTCCTACGGGGACTCTGGTAATTCAATGCTGTATTCTGGACAGGTGCGTCAATCTGAGGTGGACTTTTCTCAGGTGGTTATCCTAGGTCAGGAAGCCAGATGTTTCTGTGACCTGAAAGAAGCCTTTAAAACTCCTTTTCAGTCCACACATTCAGATCTAAATTCAACCCAGTCTCATTCTTTGGGAGAGTCAACTGTAATTTTCTGTATCCAGGCAGAGTAGAATTTATAACTCCCATCCTATGGGACAGTCCTGGGCTTTGCTGCAACATCTAGTTATTTTGAGAAACTTGATTATGTTTTTTATTCTTAGATCAGTAAGAAAGAACTATTTTAGGGGAAATCTATGCTAGAGTTGGAAATTGCACGTTTGACTATTACAATGTGCCTTTTCCTCCTTACTTTGCAGAAAGGAATTCAGTGTTTCCTGGTAGTGGTTGCACTGCTGTGTGTCCCTTGGATGCTACTGTTTAAACCACTGGTCCTTCGCCGTCAGTATTTGAGGAGGAAACGTTTGGTGGGTATATTTCTGTTGCTGAAAGTTACCAGATTTTTTTTTTTTAATCAGTGCAATTCCTTATTTAGGATGTAATGAGTTGTGCATAACCTGTGTTCTCTTAAAATGCACTTGTGTTGTATCCCAGCATGAGCCCTGGACCTGCTGAAAAGAAAAAAACAAACATGTAATTGCTGTTCAGACATCCAGATATTCAGCTTTGAGTATCCCAGGTGGCAAGAACAAGTCATAGTTTTCACCTTTCCTGATGGAGCTTTGCTCATGCTGTGCTCAGCAGAATCCGGGTCTGGGCCCGTCTCGCTGCAGCATCAGCTGAAGCAAGGCTGCTGGAGCTGCAGGCAGCGAACCTACTCATGTGGTTTGCCTGGGCAACCACAAGGCTGACACCAAGACATTTTCTTTTAAAATGAGACCATGATACTTTCACCAGCCAAAACATCCGGTGTAGGGAAAGATTTGGTTTAAAGCACATTGACGGTTTTTCTTTTTAAAAAAGCAGCATACATACTTGTGCTTACTTTATATATGTGTGCATCTGAATTACACACACACACACACACACACACACACACACTCTTAAGTTGCCAAATATCCATTTCTGGCACTGCAGTAATGCTTACTTATTACCATTGCCTGGTAAAGCCTAAAAGATCTTATTGCATGACTCTCATACGGCTGTTAGATTGTTACTCCTGTTGGAGAGCAGCCGAGTTACCAGACCGCCCTTCTCCCTTTTCTGACCATCTCCATCCTTCCATGTGCCCTCCATCCGTCTCCCCTTTCACTCCCTCCCTCTCTTGTTTCCTTCTCCCTTCCTCTTTTCTCCCATTCACTATCAGGAAGGGCAACCTGTGGAGGCCCCAGTCAGCCCAACCCCGAGCCAGCAGGGACTAGAGGCAGCAGCGGCTGCAACAGTGAGTGAATTAAACCAACAAACCATCACATATTGTTTAAAGAGGTGGCAAACAGTGCAGCAGAATTCTCTTGAAGTATGTTGAGAGCATGGGCCATGTGTGCTCTTGGGAAGTATGTCCTTGTTACTCATTGAAGCGCTGACAGAAAAAACCTCCACCTCTTAGGAACAGATTCTGGTGTCATCTGTACCATTGGTCCACTCAGGTTCCATTCAGTGTATAAGTACAGTCATGTCTGTGAACGTAAGGCGTTTGTCATACCCTCTCCAAGCCTATCATCTTAATCCAAGAGGGCAGCTCTTGGACTCATCCATTGTCATGTGTGTATTTTGTGACCCTGTGTGGGATGATTTTTTTTAGCATGGAGTGAGAGCATCTCTGTGATTCTTGAATTGATTTCCCTCCACTTTCAAGATCTGCTTCAAAGTGATGCTTGGACATTTGGTCCACATTAGCTGTGACTTACTGTCTTTCCAGTGGAAGCTTGTATGTGTCTTCTTTTCTGTGAGAGACTCAGGAGCCCTCACATCCTCAGTTGTTCATTGAGACCTCATCCTTGCCATGTGTCTTGTGTACTTTCCACCTGGTGTAATAACAAAGTTATCTTCAGTTTCAATCTTTCCTTCTTCCAATGCTAGCTCATGATTCAGTGACAGCCGTTGAACCTTAAGCATTTCATTATTTGTCCTTAAAATATCTCTTAACCAAAATCTTATAATGCACTAAGACCAAATTAGCCCAATCTATTCTAGGTAATAATGAATCTGTAATATTTTTGAAATCTCACCAGTAGTGGTTCTTAATGTTCTATTGTATTTTAGTGGCATCATACTCTTTTAAATAAATGAAATATTTAGATGGTGACCATTTACTTCATTAGGTGTTCCTGATCCTTTTAACTTCAAAAACTAATTATTCTTCTAGAACTAGTCTAAAAAGTCTGATATCTTGGATCAGAAGATATTTAAATGCGGCTGCTTAAAATTATTTTCAAGTGGGGACTTACTCTCTTTTATGAGAGGGGGAAAAAAATACCCTAAAGCACATACTGTCCATGTATTGGCATTCTTCTCATGTGCTCTTCTTTCTTCTAGTTTTAGTTGGAAGTGTGCTTCTGCTGCATCAGTCTTGATGCTTTTAAATCTAGCATCCTCTTCTGTGATACTGTCCAAGTTAAAAGTCCCCGGTCAGGAAACCTGCTCATTCGGAGGGACTCCTTAGCCCACTGGTTCTTTAGCCAAACATCTATTTCTGGAGAGCAGCCTGAATGCATCAGAATGATCATTCCATTATGAGGGCCCTATATTCTTGACCCTAAGAGCTGAGGATATGAACACAGATCTGGTTTTGTTCTGTCATCTGTCCTCTTGGTTGTCTGTAAGCAGTGTATCATAGTTTTAATTTTTTCTTTTCTTCTTTCTGCTGATGTGTGTGTCTCATCTCCCTTCCTGTAACTCACACTTCCTCTGTTCTGAAGGGACGCTTATTCTGTCTGGCTGGGAGGTTTAACCTGGCTACCCCCTCACTTCATCTGCTGGTTGGGGAAAAGTTCAGAAACGACTTTCTGCTTTAGGCCCTAAAGCCTGCTTCCTCAACCCGGGCACCCAAGAACCCACCCCAGGATACTCAGGAATCCTGTCCTGTCACCAGTGTGGTGCAGAAGGTGCTTCAGAGTGTACACTTGTGTTATATGTTCAGTCCGCTTCTCGGGGGTCATCAAGTGTAATAGTTATACAATCTGGAGGTGCCTGGGGCAGTTCCCAGATCTGACTACACATCAGAATCGCCTGGTGAACTTTGAACTTGTTTCTTAGGTGTTAGAGAAGTGGAGGAAGACATAGAGATTGCCTGTAATGCCATGACCCGTTGTGGCATTATGTGTCACCCCCTCCCGACACAAAAAACTAAAATCAAAGCAACAGGTGCACTTGGTTGGGGCTGCAAACAGTACTGATGGTGAAGTTTCCCCCACCTCCTCCTCCAGGCTATTGTTAGCAAGTGGGGAATTTTGCCTTTAAATTTTTTTCTGCCAATATCAGCATATATCTGTCATCTACTGATAGAAGTATGTATATACATATGTACAGGTATATATATCTAAAACACATGGGCAGTTGGTTTTAAATTGCAGCAGTCTTCTGCCCCTTGACTTATTGTTTCGTCACAGTACCCTTAGAGTTGCCCAGCAGTCCACAGGACTGTCTGTCGGATGTGCTAAAATTATGTAACCATCCCCTTATAGATGGCTCTGGTGGTTGTTCCCAGTTCTTTGCTGTTCCGAATAATATAACATCCTTGTCCTTGTGTCCTGATAAAACTTCACAGGTGTAGATGTTCCTAGCAGCGGGCTTACTGTCTCAAAGGGTGCATGCATTTTGGGGGGCACGCCTTTTCAATTTTGATAGACAATCAAATTGGTCATACAGTTTGTCCTTGGGGAAATGTTTTTTAAGACACAGATTTTCTAGCCCTACCCTAGACCCACTAAATTTACCATTTCTAGAGGTGATATTCGAGACTGTCTATTTAATGAAATGCAGCTTTCAAGGTGATTCTGATACAACCAGTTCTCTGACGAGCATGTGAGAACCATTACTAGAAGAAAAGAGAGAATCTGCCCAAACCTGGAGGGTCGGTGGTCGTATGCTGTGGTCAGAGATGCACACCAGAGGTGAAGCAACGAGTGGGGACCTTGGGGCGGCTGTCCAAAACCGCTTGTGTATTGTCAGTGGTGCTGCTTGGAGGCCATTTAGTAGGAGAGCAGTCTTTGAACTCTTGCCTCTTTTGGCTCCCTGGATGGCAGCCATGTGAAGTAGGTCTCAGAGCTCTTTCCTTGGTTCCTTTTCTCTCTGTGGCAGGTTAGCACTAATTGGTATCTGCCACACTTAACCCCAGTTCCACCTGGTTTTTGTACCCAAAGAATCCCCTTGCCTCAATAAACCCAAACTTTTCCAGATCAGGCTGACTTAGAAATTCTGGTCCTGAGGACCCTGCTCAACGTGGCTGTGGAGTGAGAGGCAGCAGGCACCTAGTCAGCATCTGCCCGCGTGCCTGTGAAAAAGTTGTGTTAGCACTCAGAGTCCTCCCCTGAAGGACAGGAGCCTAACTGGGTATTCTCTAGCTGCAAGCTAATGTACATTAAGCTTTTTTTTCCCTGTTCTGTGACCTAGAAACTCCTTTGTTCCTGGGCAAGGACCCAGTACATTTGGGGGAGAGGTTCTGAAACTTGTCGGGCTCCTGTTGAAATCTTAGCCAACTAAGTTGCAATCACCATGTCATCTGACTCCCCTCCCTCTTAGAAAGTGTAATCTTTAGTTCCAGAAAAAGTTAGGTCATTGAAGCCTTTACAGATAGAGCTATGCTTGTTAGGGGGGTCTATTCCTACTAAGCTTTTCATGCAAACAGGATTCTCAGTTGGCATTGGCCAAGGCGAGGATGGTGTCTCTTGGTGCAGCAGAAACTGCTTGTTGCCTCTGATCAGACTGAGGTGGTACATGTAGTTCGGGCTGGGCCTGGGCAGAGGTGGTTGGGGTGGGAACAGTGGCTTAATTTTACTTAGCTGTTCCATCAGTGGGTTTTGTTTTTGTTGTTAGAATATATGCTTTTCTGAGGTTTGTGTGTACTAACCATCGCCCTTCCCCACATCACAGAATGTCACATTAAAGCCCAGGCAAATTCTACTCTTTCTGTTCATCTATGTAGGGAACTCTCAACTTTGGTGGGATCAGGGTGGGCAACGGACCGACAGAGGAGGATGCTGAGATTATTCAGCATGACCAGCTCTCCACCCATTCAGAGGACGCGGAGGAGGTAAGATCAGTGGTGTGGGCTTCCTCTCCTCCCGTCTTGGTTCAGCCCTAGTCTTGTGTCCCCAAGTGGCCTCACTCCTGTCTGCTCCTTGAACGATGAAAATACTAATACTGAGCATCTGCCTGCCTTCTGGACCTCTTAGGGCTCCTCAGCTTTTTTCCAGTGGCCCCTGCTATAAACTCCAGGTGTTGCCTGCTGAGCCCACAGCAATTTTGTTCTGCTCTCCGGCTTCTTGAGTTCCGCGAGGCCTGCAGTAACCCTGTGCGTGAATCAGTTACTGACCACTCTCCTCGGACTAAGGCAGAGCCAGCCCCAGTACTCCGGCTCTGACAGCAGAAACCCGGCCACTTTTGGTGGCCCCTTCGTCCCTTGCCCCTCCTCAGACTGGTTCCCGTGTGGACTTGAATCACTGGGTTTTTGAAGTCCTGCTCCGCTAATGTGCTCTTGTGGCAGACACGTTCTGTGAGCCTTTTAAAGGGCTTACTTGCCTACTTTTCAAAGGGAGAATGAAGTCTGAACTTACTAGACTTTCCCTTAAACCACCACCTCCACGCTGTTTTTTTTAAATCAGTCTCCTTGCCTGACCGTACCACAGAGCCTCTGAGCTGAACTTTGAATCTCATCTATCCACTATATTCTTTTTAAAGCATAAAGAATAGGAATTGGATACCCAGGGGACTGAACTGTGCAGTATGACTGACTGCGTCTACTTTGTGTATGACTCTTTTAAAATAGAAATGGCAAGGCTTGGGATGCCTTTTCAAAATAAGTACCAGCACTCCAAGCACTGCTGATTTTGCTTTCCATTTGTGCTGAGGAGGCCTGTCTCTAACATGTTAGAACATTTAACATTCACAGTCCCCCACCCCCACCAAGAAGCAATGAGTAGCTTCGTGCTCATGACTTGTGACCTTGTGTGTGGCGTGGCTTCCCACTAAGTGTAAATTTGTGTTTTCAAGCCTACCGAGGACGAAGTGGTAAGAAACCAGCTGGCTTTGGCTTCATGTTTATCTGGGGCTTCTCTTCCCGTCCTTGTCATCACTCTGCTGTCCCTGCCGCATCCTGGGGCCCCATGTGACACCCATGTACCCTGCATCTCACTGGCCATCTCTAACCAGTCTGTGAATCTGTGTTCTGAAAAAGCTCATCTCCATTAACTGCATCTCACGTCAGTCACCTCTGTCTCTGTTTCATTGACTTTGCTGATCTAACGCCTTGAGAATGGCTTTACAAGGAGCTGCAAGTAATGTCTGCACTGGCATTCTTGAAGTGACTCCCCTTGGGAGTTAAACCCTGTTGGCCTCTGCCTTCCTCTCTGTGATGCTTGTGTATAGTCGCTCTGCCCTAGGAGTAACCATTTCCTCCTTGCTCCTTGAGTGCTTATGGGAAAGCTCACCCTTCCTCCCTGAGATGCAGCCCACCTCTTCCTGCTGCCCTCATCGGCTTGATGATGCTTGGAGTGAGAATGCTGCACCTTTGCTGGGGGTCACCTTTACCTCCACGTGACCCAGTTGGAAGATAGACAGCTTTCAAAAGGAGGCTTTGCCTCTAGGATGCATCCTAGAAAAAAACAGTCCATCAGCCTGCAAGGAGTTCATATTATCCCAGCCACACATAGAGAGTAACAGAGTAGAAAGAAAGTTGGCTAAATGTTCAGGCCACAGCCAGACTAGAAAGCCTTCTAGCTCAGCCGTAATGCACTTAGCCGTGTACACATTTTAAATTGGGTTTTTAATAGGTGTTGCTGCACTGTTTGCATCTTCTCCCCAAATTTCTCTCTGAAATACCCAGACCTGTGACCCTTTCCCTTTTCTGGCTTTCCTGGTCCTCTCTAAGTGGGCAGTGGGATGGGAATGGGAAAGGCTCTGCTATTCTGTGTGAAAGCAGACAGCGTTCGGTCTTCCTGAAGGCCGGAGAGACCCCTTTGCGGGCATCTGGGAGCTTCTCTTCCTCCGGACCGCTCCTCTGTGCATGGCCGCCAGGAAGGGCCAAGTGGGAGCGCGTCCGTGTCAGTGAGGAGCCCAGCCCTCTCCCAGCAAGGCTGCCTCCAGCACCAGTGCCTCCAGCGCAGCTCTTCTGTGCAGCTCTGTCCCAGGGGGGTGGACATGCAAACAAGACGGACTGAAATTCAGCCTTCCCAGTCTCTGGCCCCGCCCCCGACTCCCTCAGAGATTGTTTCCCACAGCATCATAAGTAGTGAGGAGATTCAGATAACTGTTTCAGATATCTAAATACGTCACAGATGGAGGCAGCAGACTCTCCCTGGGGGCGCTCTGTCCAGCTGCACACGAGAGCCCGGCCCCTCAGTTGTCTGGGGAATCTTTGCAGGCTGTAACCGCTCAGCAAGGGTCAGTGGGACCTGTCCCTACTGTGTCATCTCACCAGATAGCATTCATCCACTCACTCATTCATTCACCCTCCGTGTGCCAAGCACAGTGCTACAAGAACTGAGAGAAGAAAAAAAACAAGTCCTTGCTTTCAAGGAACTCCCAGACTAATTGAGGTGACAGATGCTATGATCAAGGTGTGCCCAGGATGCTGTGGGAACACAGGAGGAGGGCACCTGACAAAACACGGGTGGGGTGGGGAAGAGGACCCCTAGAAAGGATTCCCTGAGGGAATTATTGCTGAGATTAGCCTGGTCAAGCCAGAGTCCTCTGTGGAGGGAGGGCCAGAGGGAACGCAGACCTATAGTATGTATAGTTACCATAAAGGCACATTTTGGGGATAAACAAGTTTTCAGCTTGCTAGAGCACAGTCAGGAGTTGAGGGACTGGTGAGAAGTAAGACTAGAGGTTGGCAGACAGCAGCCATAGTAGAGTATTAGGCAAGAAGGAGCGCCACAGGGCAGTGAAGCTGCAAGTAACCCAGTGTGTACCATTGCTGAAATACCCTAGGGGAGAAGGGTAGAGGGTATATTGGGTGGAGGAGGGGCACAGCCTGAGAGGGGTCAGGAAAGACCTGCAAGGCCTGGAGGGAAGTTAGGCATTGGCAGTGGGAGTTGGGAAGGAAGGGAGCAATAAGAGATGGAGGAAGTAAAAGCTGCAGGCCTTGGGCCTTCGTGAATGCAGGCAGTGGGAGTGAGTGAGAAGTCAAGCTTGACTTCCAGGTTCAGGTGCCTGCGGCTCTAGTTATGACCCCCAGTTAGACATGGGATGAGGAGTAGAAGTAGGTCTGGAGGGTCAGAGGAGAACAGACAATGAGTTCAGTTTGGGTGGTGTGGAGGTTGAAGCACCTGCGCTGTGGCAGGAGATGTGGACAGCTGGTTGGAAACCCACAACATGGAAGTAGAGGTGCCCATTGGGAGCTCCTCCCGGGGTGGCTGCTGAAGGCCTGAGTGGCAGCTACAGGAGAGAAAAACCAAGAGGAAGTGAGCGTGTCAAGGAGAGGAGAAGGACAAGGCAGTGGTGACAGATGCTGCAGAGGCTCAGTCACAGGATGTCTGTTAGACCTCGCGGCCGGGAGCTAAGGGGAGCGAGCCCAGGAGGTGTGTGGAGCCAAGAGGGTGCAGCAGGTGAGGAACGGGCATGGTGGGGTGGCCAGGAGGCGGGTAGAGAATTAGAAAGGGTGTCTGCGGTGGCGCCTAGTCAGTCGTAGCTGACTCACATGGGGCAGTGACAGACTCCTAACTGCTTGGCTGGTTTCTCACTTAATCCTCACCCCACTTATTATCTCCCCCGCCCTGCCCCGCAGTATACAGGTATGAAAACTTGCCCAAGGTTACAAAGTAGGAAGTTGGGAGTGAAAGAGAGGAGAAAGCCAGGGTAACGCCTGGAAGGAAAGCTTCCTCTTCCATCTCAGTTCTTTTTTGGTTAATGGGAGAAAGTCAGAGTGGAATAAAATTGCTGAAAGGATCTGGTTCTAAGGGAGCCCACAGTCACTGCTTTCACGGAGCTCTTAGTAAAGCCTTGCAGTCTGTGGAGATGGGGACCCTGTCCTTCCTTGGAGCATGGACTGTGGGGTGATAGCCAGCAGTGGTGGCAAAAAGCTCTTAACAGCATTGTCAGGATTCAGGTAACTATGGTTACCCTAGTTTTCAGGGTAACTAGAAGACTTTGCAAGAGCCTATTTCAAAAGAAAAGCCCAGAAATATTCTGGGTATAGATAAGGGTGAGGGAAAATTAGGTGATCGCCAGAGATGGCGAGCTGGATCTGGCCCCCCTCGCCACCGGCCATGTCCATGAGGCCTGGGCTGTTAGCGCTTCACCAGCCAGCCCAGCCCTCCTCTTCTGCCCTCACGCCGTTTCTCAAGGCAGTTCTTTCTGGTATCTTTTGGGGGTCAAGTCATGTGAATCTGGAAAGAAAGTGGTGAAAAACAGACTGACTTGCGGGCAGGGCAGGCTTGGAAAGCTGATTTGGCAGCAGCCCTCTGCTCACTGGGTCTGGTCTGGGCCCTGTGGGGAGGGGCTGCCTGCCTCCTGACCTTCAGTGGCTGTGGCTCCACCTGGGAGAGTGAGGCCCGGAAGCATACCTAGGGCTGGACTCCGAGCAGGCCTAACAGGAAGCTCCCCACAGCCCCTCTTCCTCATGCTGGAAATAATCTTTGATGTTGAAAGGAAAACCGGAAGAAAGGGAGCATGAGGAAAACAGACCAAAAAGACAATACATGTTCTGTTTGACCTTCATCACCTGCCCAAGTAGGAATTTGTAAAATTTTGCCAAAACGTCCCTGTGTGATCTTTTCAGAAGTCTCTAAAGTAACAGGGAGTTAGCTTGCTGCCCACATGTTGGGAAAATAAGGAGGGGCTGCAGAGGTTTAGTCTCCTCCAGGTAGTTTCCAGCCTGGTGGCCTGTCCCCTGACACACATCCCAGGAAAGAGCCCTTCCTGTCCTCCTGGCTCTGGAGAGCAGGGTGCTCTGCTCTCAGGCTCCACAAGGTAGAAGTC